GTGTCCTGTCCCGCCAGAAGAGGCAGCTGCCCTCCCAGCGAGCCCATGGCTGCTTTTGGGAGCATCACTTGCATTGCTTGCAGGAGAGAAGCTGAAAATATTCTTTCAAAAGGCCCTATAAATGACATTTTGTCTTGCCTTTCACCCACTGCCTGTCTCAATTTCTCCAGACCTGGGGGCTTTGGGCTGGAGAGGAGCGGGCGGTAATCCGGAGAGCCGTGCTCCCGCGCCTGCCAAAGCCGGAGGATGGGAAAGGTGCCACTGGCGCCCGGGGCTGCTCTCCATGAGTTATAGGTCTCTGGTAATAACAACCTGAGCGTGTGCTGAGCTGGCACATTCCTTCAAGGAGCTTTTCTGTATGAAAGATGAAAAATATGTCAAACAAATTTATAATGCCTCAGGTTTTATTTATATTTCAGCCTAGGGAGAATTGGATAAAAAACGTAAGGAATGTCCAGGGCTCTTTCTGTCCTCGGGGCTGCCTTTAGTGCAAGACATGCTCTGAGGCCGACCAGAGCTGAAGCGGAGCAGAATTAACCTCAAATTTCTTTTTTTGTTATTTTTTTCCCTCCCAGCAGGGCTGTATCCTGCTCCCAGTTGCTCGGGGGTAGATGTGCCCAGAGCAGGGCTGGGGAGCTTGGTGGGGGCTGCAGCGAGCACTTGGCTCTGGTGGGCAGCGCTGCGGCATGGTCAGCACCAAGCCCCGCTCAGTTCCTCTACTCTCCTATCTGTGAAATGGGTGCAGGAAAAGGAATTTTACACCACAGCAGCTGCATCCACACCTGGATCTGGCCAAGAGGGCCATGCCATGGGGTATGAGGCACCCCGTAAGCTGGTGGGCTCATCCGAACAGCCGCTGTCTCCCTGCCTTCCAGGAGGTTTCACCACTCCCTCACCAACAACAACCGCTGGATCCGGGAGCGGAGCCACGAGTCCTACGCCAAGAACTACTCCGTCGTCTTCCCCCACGACGAGCCGCTGGCGGGGCGCAACGTGAGGAAGGACCCCCTGCACGAGGTGAGGATGCGCACCCCGAGCCGGGCTGCTGAGCTCGGAGCTATGGGAGACTCTCACAGCATCCTTACAGCAAAAAAGAGGTGGCAAAGAGTGGCTGGGGGCACCTCACCCCCCCCCACATATGTTGCATCCATGCTTCCATCCATCCGTCCTGGGAAGATGCCTGCTGAATCCCAGAGCTCGCCGGGTGCATGCTGTGAGGGTGCTGGGGCAAGGGACAGTTTAATGGTAGAGATGCCAAGTGTTCCCGTGATATTTAACTTAGCAGATGTGGCTGAAAAGCCTGGTGATGATCGCTGGGGAAGGGAAAAGTGGAGAGAAAGGCTCAGAAGCTTATTTCATGCACTGCCAGTCCGGCTCGGGGGCAGTTGCGAGGGCTGCAGGATGCCAGCTGCTCGCGGGGATCTCCCGCGCCCTGCTCTGCATGCACCAGCTTCTCTTCCCCAAAGCAGTGCCTGGCAGTGTGGAGTGAGGCCAGGACACAAGGAGGGATGTGGGGAGCAGCCGTGCCTCTGCAGAGGTGGTTTTAGGGGCACCCCCTAAGTCCCCGCTGCTTTTGCTCCCTGGAGCCGCCAGCCAGGGCTGCTCCCTGCTCCCGCCTCCGCCAGCCACTTCCTTCCACAAATCTCCGTAGGTGAACGCTTTGAAGACACAGCATTTGAGACAAAAAAAAAAAACACATTTCCACCACTTTGCTGCACCAGCAGTGTTGCAGCAGCCGCAGCTCAGAGCCCCCAAAATCACCGAGAGCTCCCGAGATGCTCAGGGTGATTTTGGGGCCAGTGCCTCGTCCCACCCCATCACTGGCCGCCCCAGTCCCAGCAAGGAGCAGCTGCGTTTCTCGAGCCCGTTTCTGCTTGTTGCTAGTTCATGTCACACCGTTCCTCTTGCGATGGAGAGCAGAGGCTCAAGCAGTAAAACAGACATCCCTCCCCACCGGCCCCCGGTGTTTGGTTGACAGCTCGGTTGTTTTCTGTCACTGAGGATGCAATTTATTTTTTAATGGCACATCTAATAAGCGATGCCCATTTGACTGACAGCCTGGTATTTATACATGCAGCTCCAGAACATGGGCTGTGTTTTATAAATAGGCACTGAATCATTTCTGAAACGTTCAACAAAATCTATTCTTTTCCGAACGGAGGCACTGAACAAAAATATCTTAATGGATCCCTAATTAATTGCGTGCAGAGAGATTTTCCTGAGAGCACAGAGGAGGAATGAGAAGGTTGCCGGATAAATCTTAAATGTTATTATATAATTACTCTTGTAAACATCAGGGGGGATTTCACTCTCTGGATTTAGCATCTCTCAGTCAGTAATTCATGCACTGTGGCGCACGCTTTGGTGGGTGCCCAGCTGGGCTGCCGGGCTCCTGCCCACGGCTGCCGCGGAGCCAAACACCTTTCTTGGGGGGACAAAAGTATCAGGCAATTTGCAGGCAGCTGAGGTTTGCCACTGTTTTAAAAGACAAACTGCAGAGCTGATTTTGGCTGCTGGTAGCCAAAGCCAAGGGGTCACAAGTTGGGTTTTGAGCAAGGATCAAGGAGCGCAGCCTGGGTGCTGCTCAAAAAGCAATGAAAAGGGTTTTTTTTTAACCATTTTTTCCAATTGGGGACAAAAGTATCAGGCAATTTGCAGGCAGCTGAGGTTTGCCACTGTTTTAAAAGACAAACTGCAGAGCTGATTTTGGCTGCTGGTAGCCAAAGCCAAGGGGTCACAAGTTGGGTTTTGAGCAAGGATCAAGGAGCGCAGCCTGGGTGCTGCTCAAAAAGCAATGAAAAGGGTTTTTTTTTAACCATTTTTTCCAATTTCTCTGGCTTCGCTTGCGTAGGAGCTGCTGCAACAGGGCTGCGTTTTCCAGGAGCGGCACGGCTGGGAGCGGCCTGGCTGGTTCAGCCCCGGGGGAGCTGCCCCGGTGAGCACGACGTGTGTTTCGGGGGGCGTTCAGCCCGTAGGTACCAGCCATGCCCATGTGTGCAGAACGCGTGCTGCATCTGCAGGGTGTGCGATACGCTGCAAGCAGGTGCATGTCCCCAAAACGGGTCCATAAAAGTTGTTGGGCTTTGATTCTCTGTAACAGCGGTAAGAGGGAGATCCATGGGTGTGTGTTGTGTCTATCTGTCTGTCCCTCTGCTGCAGGCAGCACCTGCCTGCAACAGCCCAAAAGACAGGCACTGCTCGGCTTTAAAGAGCAGCAGGCAGGGGTGCCAGGGTGGGGACTCATCACTACAGGCAGGGATGCTAGGATGGGGACCCATTGCCGTGGGTTGGGATGCTGGGGTGGGGACCCATCACCATGGGCAGGGGTGCTGGGTGGGGACCCATCACCATGGGCAGGGGTGCTGGGTTGGGGACCCATGGCTGTGGGCTGGGATGTTGGGATGGAGACCCATCACTACGGGCACAGACCCACTCCTCTCCTGGCATGGGCTGAATGCAACTGGGAGCAGTCTCTTGGCTTTGGCCTCACATCATCTTCCTCACTGCCCCCATCCTCCTGCTTCCCTCTCCCAGGTCCTGGATTACGACTACTACGGCGCGTATGGCCAGGAGCGCCACAGGGACTACACCTACAACCAGCTGCTGGGAAATGAGTACACCTTTGACTTCCCCCCCCACCATGACATCGTGAGTGTGAGGGGCCAGCCCCCCCCAGCCGAAACCGCTGGGCACATCTGTAGCTGGTGGGGGTGGTTAGAGGCAGCAGAGCCCATGCCACACCGCTGCTTTGGGTAGAGCTGGTGAGGCTCAGAGGGAGGGGAAGCTTTGCCCAAAACTGGGGAAAATGTTCCAAAATGATTAAGAGAAATGCGTGGCCCGTGTCAGAAACCTCAGTGGAGAGAGAGACCACGGGAATTTTACTGCTACTTTCCCAATAGAAAGAATTGAGACCAGCTCGGGGACCCAATTTGATAAAATTTAACTATTATTCTTGATAACTGTCACTGTGTTAGTGACATAAGGAATAGGATTGAGCATACAGGAAGGCCTGTCAGAGTTACTCCATTTAATACCTGATTTTTCAGGAGTGTTTTGAATCCTTACAGCCTTTAAAGGCACCAGGCGAGTGTCCTGGTGTTGTTTCCCATTACATAAATGGTTTTAATGTCTCTCCCTTTGTGGAGCGAGAACACGGCTCAACTTCAGCAGCGTGTTCGCTGTAATTGTAGATCAAGAACGAATGCTTAACGTGCCGAAATGCCCTGGCTCTCTTCAACATGTCTTATTTTGGGAAATTCTACCTGGTTGGCCCTGAAGCAACCAAAGCAGCAAACTGGCTGTTCACTGCCGACGTGAGCAAAGCACCAGGTACCGGCTCAGCCCCGAGATTTCGCCTCTGCTCAGCACTGCCCGGGGAAATCACGTCTTACACCAAAACAAACCGGGGTGGGGGGACCCAAACTGGCTTTTTTTTTCAAATTCTGCTTTTGCAAAGCGTATGGGAAGTGTATGAGAGAGACTTCTGTCCCTGTCCTCACCGGGGGCTGCTCTGCTCTCGTTTGCACAGGGATGAACGTGCTCTGAGCTGAGGGGTACGGGGGGGATATGGTGATCTGGCCCACTGGCTCCAGCTGTGGCTCACAGATGTGATGGGCACTGGAGTAAACCAAGCACAACCCTCGCCAGCCACGGTTCCTACTGGGAGAAGCTGCTGCCTACTCTGGGGCTGGGAGGCAGCTTCAGCTCCTCACATGGATCTCAAGGGAAAAAAGCCCAGCTCCTGTCTCCCTCCTGGTGCTGGGACATCCAGGGTCCGTCAGGGCATACCCAGGCAGTGGCAGCTGATGAAGTGATGAGGACTAATTTTTCTGCTACCCCCTTTCCTCTGCCAGGGCCGCGGCTCTATGCCAGTGCCAGCTGAAGGGCAGCGGTGCCTGTCTCCTTCCCCCAGGCTCGACCGTGTACACCTGCATGTTGAACAAGCGAGGCGGTGTGGAGAGCGACCTGACCGTCAGCCGGATCAGCCCCGGGGACCCAGCGTCCCCCCTGGCCCCCGCCTTTGAAGGTAGAAGCCCTGAGCAAGGGGGATACCGGAGTTGGGCACATTTCTGCAGCTGCCGTGGGGCTGGGGGGACTCTGGCTGGGTTTACCCTCCCACAGTTCTGCTCCCAGCCTTTTCAATGCACGCAAAAACTTTTCCAGTCCCGAGAAGGCATAGTGGCAGGGGTGGGTGGGGGCTCCCCCATCCCTGCCGTGCCTGGGGGGCTGCAGGCACAGGAGTGATTGCATTTATCTAATGGCAGCCACCTGGCTTTTTCCACCTCCGCCCCTCAGTCCCTGTAACCCGATTATCCCCCTCATCCCCGGGGCCCTGCACTGCTCATCGGCGTGATTGGGTTTGTCCAGCCCGGGCTGGCGGCTCTGACCTCTCCCCAAGTCCTTATCAGCTGCAATAAAGAGGAATCGAATGGAAGCAGAGCAGTCAGCCCGGGGGGCAGAAATGGCATTAGGCAGCAGTGGAGAAGGACACTGCACTGGTCTCTGGTAGCATCAGGGCTGCCAGCAGAAGGGAGGTTTGCACTGGGATGCCCAGCGCCAGCGGAGCCCTGTCCCCGTGCAGCATCACCCTCAGAGCGGGTGGTTGGAAGGGACCAGCCCTGCGGTGCGGCGGGCCCCCGGAAAAAAAAATCTTGGCGCCTTCGCCCCGGCGTGGTCAGGTGCCGGTGAGCTGCTCCCTCCCCGTGGGTGATTCCTGCATCCCTCTGGTCTGGGATGCTTGCAGGGGGCAGAAGGGTGGCAGGAAACGGATGGCAGAGCTGCAGGGTTTGTCGGGCGATGGAGGAGTTTAATTGCAGCAAAGTCTATTTTTCCAATTACAGTAGGTGGCTGCACTTATTACCGTTATGACACATTTCCAGAGAGCAATTTTGTAGTGGCAGGAAAGACAGAGGGAAGATTGATTACGTATTAATCAGCTCCCAAACCCCATCCCTGGGGATTTTTCCACTCAGGATTACTGACTAGATGAATTCCTCCTTGTACACAGTGCAGCCCCTGCGCTGGTTATGGCCGAGTTGCTACAGCCCTCCTGCTCCCATCCGTAGCTCCCTGCACACTTTGGCATCCTCTCTGTACCACGACTAAAGAGCAGATGCTTTTGCTGTTGGTCTCCGGGGACAAAGAGTTTTTCCTCTTCCCATAACGCTCACGCACGCACAGGCACCTCCAGGGCTCCATCAGCTTTTTTAACCTTTTCTTCTTTCAGGTTTTAGTGCTCATTTGGTTTTCACTGTGCTGAGCCCCACAAAAGGCAGCGTGAATGTTAGCAGAGCCCCAAAGCCCTCCCTTGCCCCAGCACTATTTAACCCCCTCCTTTCTTGGCAGTTCCCCTCGGGCTGTGCAAGCTGGAGAGGTTCAGGGCTCCAGCTCAGCCTCTGGAGAGCAAAACCAGCCCTGAGCTGAGCTGAGCATCACCCCAGCTCAATGCTTCTGAGCCTTGAAAGGCTGCTGGGGGGGTGTCTTCCAGGGGACGGCTACTACCTGGCTATCGGCGGGGCCGTGGCTCAGCACAACTGGTCACACATCACCACTGTGCTGCAGGACATGAAGCTCCAGTGCAAACTCCTCGACTGCTCGGAGGAGCTGGGCATGATGAGCATCCAGGGTCCCCTGAGGTGAGTGCGGGGAGAGCGTTGTGGCCCCTCCTTGCACCCTGACCATGGAGGGATGGAGAGAGGGATACAGGGACGGATGGAGGGAGAGATGCCTCGGACGCAGGCCAGGTCCCGGTGGTGGGCAGTGGTAGGTGTGAACCCCACAGCACCAGGCAATGGTCTGGCTGGAGTGGTGCTGCGTTTGCTGGGGAATTGGTGTTTCTTTTGAGGCTCTCACCATGCGATGTAACAACCATGTCAGCTCCCATTCAGAGGGACAACAAGACAGGAAAGCAAGTTCTAGCCATAGCCCTCAGAGCAGGCTGGCCAGCTGCCTCCTTTCACCGCGGCCCCCTTGCTGTTTCCCCGCAGCCGCGCCGTCCTCCAAGAAGTGCTCGACACCGACCTCAGCAACGAGGCCTTCCCCTTCTCCACCCACAAACTCGCCACGGCCGCAGGATGCACGGTAGGATGGGGCTGGCCCTCCCAGCACCCCAGGGTGTCTGTTCACTGGGGCAACCACCCACCCTCCTGCACAGCCGAGCATCCTCTGCTGGGGAACCCCTCTGCCTTCACGTTGCTGCGGTGGGCACCTGGGAGGGTTTGTTGGGTTATTTTGTTGGAAAAGCCAAAAACTGGGGTGTTTTCCTCCCCGTTTGCTTGCCAGATGCCAGCCTGCTCTCCCAGCCCACCCAGCAGTGTTGTAGCCCAGGCTGAGCTTGGGGAAGGGACATGGTGACTTATGGCTTTGCAGCGCTGTCGGAGGAACATGAGACGCCTCCCACGGATTAGGGGCAAGCATTGGTGATAGAGATTTTTTTGACACTCTAGATCCCCTCATTTTCTCCCTACTCATACAAAAAATAGGGACTATTTAACATAAAGCATGTCAAGTGCTGGTGGGAAGGGCTGGGCAGGCTGCGGGGCCGGTGTATTTGATCACAGGAGAAGTCTGACAACCTTAAGCTTTCAGCACAAGTGTGCATCACCCTGTGTTTCCCCAGACATCAGGGCTCACGTCAGCAGTTATGCAAGAAAAGCACAGAATTAGGGATGCTCCATGCTAATGCCTCAGACTGAGCCCTCGGTGTTGGAGCGAGGGGACAAGAAGCTCTTTGGGGTGACAGTGGAAATCAGCACCACTGCCCGGCTTGGGCGCCTGGTGGGGAGTCATGGGTGGGGGGTGCTGGCAGCCTGGCACCTCTGCTGGGAACCACAGCGATGGGTTTGACACCCTGCATGGCATCGCTCGGAGGTGCGGAGGGAGGAAGGCTCAGCCTAAAGCGCTTTGGTGTCCTTTGCCGCGTGGCAAAGTGGTGGATCAGTCCCCGGGTTTGCTGTGAGGTTTCGCAGCGCTGTCTGCTTGGTTGGACTCCTCCGTCTCACCTGGTGTGGGGCAGTGAGGAAAGTGCCTTAAATCTCTCCCCCGCCTTATCTCAGGGAGATCAGCATTATGTGAAGTTATTCCTGGGGAAAGGGAATGATGGCAGTTCTTTGGGGAGATTTGTCGTGTGTGAAGCTGCAGATTTAGCCTGCCCGAAACACCCTAAAGAGAAGAATTGGTGACCATGAAGTGTCGTTTTGTCAAAAGAGAGACATTCTGGGAAAACCTGCTGCTGGCAAGTTTTGGCATCGGGGGAAAAGCTTTTGCAAGGTTTGCCTGAGAAGGTCTGTCTTGGTTTCTTATAGATGTTTACCCCATATGAAATATTCCTTGCGTTGCAAGAACACCCCTTTGGGAGAGGGGTTTGGGTTTGTACCCCTTCCTTCCCATGGGAAATCTGGGCAGGTAGTGCTCCCAGGGCATCCCTGTCCCACTTGGAGGAGCCGGCTGGCAGAAGGGACCGTGCCAAGTGTTTGCTCTGGTTCTCGGGACGGTGTCTGATGGGAGATGATGGCGGTGAAGGTGCAGTGGTAAATCTTATAAAAGGCAGCA